GGTCTGGTACTTCCTGTGTCAAGCAAGCAGGGGTCAGAAAGGGTAGGGAACACATGAAGCCTTGGCTAACAGAACTAAGCCAGTAGGGATTGTGGAATATGCTATAGCCAATGAAGGACTATGGCAAATTGCCTCTTTCTGTGGTGTTGGGGCAGCAGGGCAGTCTAGGTAGTGGCTCATGTTTGGGACAAATTGAATTTTTTGTTCAATTTGTTCTTTAAAACCTATACATGGTTTTTATATAGCCATTTTTAAGGGGCAAGTTCTTACATCCTTAATCAGGTAAAACTATTTATGCAAGAGATTATTGCCTGACTAAAAATTTACGAAGGACTGTTGAAGTACTGCTGCATTTTTATGTCTTGAGTACTAAAGCAAAGAGACGATATTAATAGCACAATGATAATTAGCACATACAAAGTTATGTTAAAAGGAATTTGTGGGATACTTACGCCCTTTGACATTTGGAAAAGCTTATACTCAGAGTGACCTCCCTGCCTCGCTATTATAACAATTACCTAACTGTGATTGTGATGACTTTGATGTCAGGGATTTCCTTGCTTTTTAAGGAAATGGTAATTTTAAATCAAGCATATGATTCATAGATTGGACTACATCAGGACTAGGCAAAATATGGCCCGTGGGCTGGATTTGGCCCGCCAAGCCACCAGATCCTCCCCGCAGAGGCAGCGGGGAACCCCAAGCAGGCTCCCTAGCTTGCTCTGCAGCCCTGTGTGCCGTGCAGAAAACTGGCTGAAGGGCTCCGTTGCTGTTTTGAAACGGGAGGGAAAGGGGGAAGTTTTAGGAGCTGCCCCGCCCCCAGCACATTCCCATTGGCTGGTTTCTGGCAGAAATTAGCCAATGCGAGCTGCTTGTTAGAATAACAGGCAACTAAGAAGAATCATGCCTCCTCCCCTGGGCTCAGTTATTCATGAAGCACATGGCCAGGCAAGCAGGCAGGCTGGCTGGGAAACATTTTAAGCTCGGCAGGCAGGCTAGTTTGGCAGCGGACAAGTAAGTCTCTTAGCCACAGCCTGCTTCTGGCTCCCCAGCCCTTTCCTGCCCCAACTCTTCTCCCCCCTATCCCCACTCAACATACCCAAACCCTGTGTCCCGCTCTTACACCCATATCCCCTCCCAGATTTGGCAACCCAATCTCCTGCCCCAGATCACAATCCTCTCCTGCCCTGAGAGACATCCCAAATGCCTGCACTCCAGTCCCCTCCCCTAGGTCACAACCTCCTGCTTCATCCCAACTCCCTCCCAGACTCAAGTTTCCCTCCTGCACCCCTGTCCCTTACCCCAAGCTCCCTTCTGCATCCAACCTCCATTCCAGACCCCACATCTCCATTAATATCTTGGAAGAGCGCGGCCCTCGACCACTTTCCAAAGTCGTGGAGTGGCTCCCCATAAAAAATTATTGCCCACCCCTGGACTATATAATATATTAATTATATTGATTACTGAAGCATTGCAAGTTACTGAAGCATTGCACTCTGATATGTTCTTGTTCAAAGATCAGGCCCAGTATTAAAATTACTGTTGAGTTGGAAATCCAAGTGTGTAGTTACAATATTCATGTTTCAGAAAATATTTGTAATATTGTGACTTTGTTGCCTGCCTCCTCTCCCCCTACCCCCCCGCCCACTCCCATACATGTGCTGGGATACATATTTTGTTATGCTGACTTACTATGTCTAATACGTTTTCAATAGGGATTTTTCTCCTTATTTGTTTTTTTTTTCTTCTCTGTTAATGTTTTGTTGCCCGTCTCCTTTAGGTTAGCAAATGAATGCTCTTAATTTACTATAGTATACCTCAGTTCATTGCCATAACGCTCTTGTAGTCAAACATCTGTAGATGTGTTCCCATCCTAAAATATCAAAATCTGGTGTTAGCTCATGTTCCTTGGCTGGCTGGTATGGTTACGGATAAACTTCCCCCTTAAACACTTTCTATTCAGAGGGCTCATCTAGACTACGCTAGAGTGTCAAAAGAGGATATGCAAATTCTGCAGGAAAGCTCTGCTTTCGAAAGTAAAAGTAGTTTAGCTGTTGCTTTACATGGCTTTTGGACAAAGGAGGGGGGGGGGGGCTGAAAAAGCCGCGTCTAAACTACTTTCCACATCTAAGAGGAAGAAGATATCCTCTTTCGACACTCTAGCGTAGTCTAGATGAGCCCAGAGTTTCCCAAAACTTAGGCATAACACATTAGGCCTTTATCTACAGTGAAGTTCATAGGATTTCACAATCCTTATGCTGATTACTGAAGCTAATGTCTTAAAGGATATAGGCTAATGAATGCTAAAGCTATGGGCTACAGTGCTCAGGAAAAGAATTCTAAAAAAAGAAAACACCTTCTCATGGTCGCATTCTTTTTTCAATTACACCAGTAGAAATTGGCAGTATGTTTAATTCAGTTTTATATTGAAGTAGCTCTGTGTGTGTTTCTCTGTTTAATCCAGATTTTACCACCTTTGCTAGTGCTGGATTGTGTCTTAATGTGTGAGTAGTCTGACTGAACTCTGTGAGGGTAATTGGTAGTGTGAAGTATTGTTCACAAACAGGGTTCCCTGTCTGGTGCGTGTCTGTGTAGGTGTGCACCAAGAATTTCACTCCCTCCCACCCCATCAACAGAGCCATGCATCTGCGACCCCAGCCACCATGCAGCCTGACTGCTAATACTAAATGAATGAATACTAAAAATAGCACCATGGCCCGGCTCCAGCCCCGGCACATGGGGCAGCCACCTGCCATGTGGCCCAGCCCCTGGAAGCAGGTGAGGTCAGGGACGCAGCACTAAATATAGCACTGCAGCCCTGGCTCCAGCAGCTGCATGCCATGCTGCCCCACCCAACAGGTGCAGGTGTCAGGAAGGAAGAAGGTAAGGTATGGGGTAGAGGGATGATTAAGGGGAAGGTAGGAGTGAGGAGAGGAAGGGGATTGTGCTGAGGGGAAAGGAGGCGATCCAGGCAGGAGAAGAAAGAGGAAGGCACCAAGGGGTAGGGTGGAGGAGCGACAAAAGCTAGGGGCCATGAGGAGACAATGATGGGAAAGGGCAGGAGGGGTGAGGGTGAATGTGAAGGTGTCAGTGGGGATGAGGTGACAGAACCGGGTGGTGGTGGGAGAGGAGAGTGGAGGGGCATGGCGCAAGAGGAAGGAAGAAGAGAGGGGAGAAGAGGGGTTGTGAAAGGAGGGGTGGACATGAAGAAGGTGGGAGTTGGAGCAAGTCATGTGAGGGTGCAGAGGGGCATGAGGAGAACTGAAGCAGAGGGTGGTGAGGGGGGTGGGTACCAGGGAGAGAGGGGGCATGGTGGGGGGGGCAGCAGGCACCAGGGGAGCAGATGGGTTGAGGGGAGGGTGGGAGACATGGCAGAAGAGGGGGAAAAAGGAGAGGTTTATAACTTGGGTGCCACAGTGCCACACATCCGAACAAGTGCACATGACCTCAATATTGGTACACAAGACAAAACTCATTGCACTTATGGATGGTAAATCTTAGAGGGAACACTGTTCAAAATCTGGCTCTTAAGCTATTTTTTGCTTTTATTAGTACTCTGGAGCCCATATGACTCATGCATACTTATTAGTTAATAGCTAAACTATTTAAATTTATACCTAGTGTAAATCAATGTAATTCCTATATCAGATGTGACTGAGAACAATTTGGAACGGGGACTGTGAATGAGCTCAAAAGAACACTTTGTGACTTTCA